AGACTTCACGAAGGGACACGAACGTTCTAGAAGCACATGACGTGACCTCCGCTGTCATAACAATACCAACATTCGCTACACTTACAAGGTTTCACAGCAACCCCTATCACTAAAATTGTAATGGGCAGACATTAATCGAACGGTCAAAAATTGTAATAGATTCTGATAAAATGTGATAGAAATTTGTGATATCAAATATAAATGTGAAATATTTAACACAATAATAAAGTTCATTGATAATAAATAATTCTTAATTTACTGTACACTCTTTACGACTTTGTGTTTCTGGGAAATAAAAATGTTTAAAATATTTTTGACTGTTCTTTTATGCTAAAATAGATTCAGAATACACACACTGACATAGTCATCTAGAATATATCAACCTAATAACCTGAGCAAAGCTAGGTACTTTCACTAGTTTAGAATAAGGTACAAATGCTGTTTAAGTACTTAATTTTACTTTGAGTTATTTCTATTACATTTTAGCTGCAGTTTGAACCTTTTTCTTCTTAAATACAAATTTAAAAACCTAAAAAAATTTACAAACTGAATTAAACAACATAATATAATTATAACTGTCTGTTGTCTATTCTTCATCAAGATGAAATACTTTCTTAAATGGGTTAGACAACCTATGCCATTGACTTAGACTCTTATTAAAGTGACTGTTCTTTTTTTCTGACTACATATATCAACATTAATGCTAAACCTATGACATTTTCTTGGATAAAGTATTCCTTTGTGAACTAAATGTTATGAAGGTTGCAGTAAGATGGTCACAACATCACTCTAACAAAGAATTTTTGATCATTGACATGGTTTGTGTAAACCATTTGAAAATATATTAAATTCTAGTACAGTAAGTCATCTTTTCACATAGATTATCTATTTTCCTCAGTGTATCTCCCAAAGAGATTTGTATGCCACTAGCCTTGAGGAAACTCCTACCTAATTTCACATGATTTAGCATGAATTGGGTCACAGTATGATGACATCATCATGCAATAAAAGCCCTTCACCAATAGGAGAGAGACACATCTGCATGTGCAGTAACATTGGTATATGTGAATCTTCATTCTTTTCCTGAGCACTGTAGAGCACATTTATCGTTAAATTTCATGTTTGTATTAAATTTGTATTTGATTTGTTTTGTTAGTGAAACTTTGATTTTTGTTTTCTTTAGCTTTTGTTCCCAATGTTTTCAAATTATCATCATGAATTCTCAACTTAAAGTGATGTATACTTAGTTCTGAGTGTGGGACATTGTTCACATTTAGGCCTTATTTCTGCTGTGGCCTTTGGAGGCTCATTAACTGTCAAACTGTTAGGGTTGTTGCAGCCATTGTTCAACATGTTTTGGATTATCACATGCTTAATGGACCTTCTGCTCCTATCTCGTCATCCAATCTACTTTCTCCTCAGTCAGAAATGGTCTATTAGACAACAGCCTTCACCTTATTTGCTTTCACTAGTACTTTGCCATTCGTAAAATCACCTTAACATTTCAATCTATTTCTGGATATTCTTGTTAGGCATGTTTCTTTCCATCTATTTTGCCTGTGTTCTTTATTATTTTTCGTTTTCTCACTTTCTTACCTATGATTTTTTTTGGGTGTAGCTTGTCTTTTCTTCTTGCTAGTTTTTAGGTTTTATACTATTTCCCTTATCTACTAACTTCTTTCTCATGTTTATGACTCCTTTAGTTCTGATTTGTATACTTTTTTCCTGATTTTCTGTTATTGGTTTCTATCTGACAGCTTCAGTATTGAGCCCTTTTCCTTCTATTTCACTTCCCAATTCCCTTTTAAGCATTTTTCTTCCTATCCTCTCTATCCTTCTGTAGTCCCTCTTATTTTATCTGAGGCACTTCTTAATGCTTCTGATGGTTTCTGTACACGTTTGTTCCCTTCTCTGTTTGACCTCTTCCACTTCTTTTGCTCTATCCCTTTGTACTTTGTTCCCCTTCTGTCATGACTTAATTGCTGGGGCTAGAACAAGGGGTGCCAATATAGTGAGAAGTGGGGCAGTGGTGATGCTGTTGATGTTGTGCAGGTCATCCCACATATTACTAAGATACATCACTTATGCCCTCTTTCTACAGCCTGAACCTGTTCAATAGAGTTGAGATGTACATGCACTACAAATGGACTGATAATGCATAATATGGTTCCATCCTCCTGCAGATAGTCTGTCCCATAAAATCTGTTCAGTTGAGTAGAGGTGAGCAGTCACTTTCCAAAACCAATAAATATTTATATCTTACATGTCCTCCTTTTGCACCCAATGTCTTTTTAGTAGATTTGAGATGACCACACTCAATATTGATCCTTACTACCTAACAATACATAAAACATGTATTCAAAGCTGGTCTAAGTCTCATAAAGCTCACAAAGTACAGTGTGAACGAGCCCCAAACACACTACACATACTGGCTGTCTGACTTGTGTGCAAGTATTCAGGTGGCCATATACCAATTCTGCCCATCCCTGTGACACAAATTTGGCTTCTGTGCTTCTTTCCTTTTCCTATATGGGCAAAGAGTATTCTCTGGATGAAAAGAGATGTGCCCCTATGGAGCACCTGCCATTGAGTGTCACACTCCATAGGTATCATCTGGAAGTATTCTTAAGGGTGCTCATCTAGGTGTATTTTGTACAGTCCCTCCACCATGTCAACATGAGATTCTAGCTAATCTGTATGAGGAGATGAATTATTGTTTCAGAACTTACATCTTCCTTACCTGAAAATGTATTTCTGATAGATACTTACCACTTCACACATTCCCATCCATCTTTCCCACTTCCCATGCACATTTTATTACTTGCTTTGTCAAAGAATGAAGGTTCATGAATGCAAATGCATAGGAGGTATTAGTGTGCATACAGGTGTATCACCCTCCTATTCATGGAGGGCTTTTGTCACATGATGACACCGTCATGTAGTGACACAAAGCTAGTGGTATACAAATCTCTTTGGCAGATGTGCTGAGGAAGATAGCTAAACTGTGTAAAGAAGTGACAATCTATCAGAAATACATTTACAGATAAGAAAATTGTTAATGTTTACAATTATTACACAGAATAATATTAAGAAAGGTTAAACCTATGTAGTAAAGTTCAGAGATGTTAATATTTGAATATAGGAATATATAGTTTGTCACTTCAATTTCTTAATGAAAATAGTTTTGGAAGTTTTTTTCTTTTTGTTGCTTATATTCTTGTAAGTTAATAAAAAAGTTCCATATATATTTGGTACTTAGTGTATTTTATTTAGCTGATTTGCATGCTGAATTTTATGATATTGAAACACTGAAATACCTATTACTATGCAGTTCAACATTGAAGCTAAAAGTATGGCAATCTTGTTTGATAAGGGTTTAATTTGTGACTGGTTATAATACAATTTGAAGCTTTATCTCTGAATTAATTGAAAAAATGCATGAAAATATTTTGTTATTTTCTGCAAAAATTATCTCGAAAGTGTACATTTGATTTGCTTAACATAACAAATCAAATTCTACGTACATGTCATAGTCTTCAGTTATTCTTAATAGAATATAGTGTATTATTTTGATGCAAATGACTAGTAACTCTCCACAAAACTTGTGTGTGTGTGTGTGTGTGTGTGTGTGTGTGTGTGT